GTTCATTTTGTGTATAAATAGGTGTACTAGGTTTACACTTATATCAATCAATTCCTTCAATCATTTGTGGCAGCTTTTAGCATTTATTCCTTTACTCTCTTCTTCCTAAATTTCATCACCTTGCACTAACAAATTGGTATCTATAGCTCTTGGTTTATTCTGAAATTCTGAGAAACACGAGTGATAGTGAGTTGTGTGTTTGATTTTTGAATCTTGAACAAAAATCTAAAACAGAATCACACTGATTCTGTGGGTTTGGGAAACACTGAGTGAGAAATTTGAGATCTGAGTTTTTGTGCAAGGTTTAAGATGAATGGAGGCAGTAGTTTGAACACTAAACTTCCAGTTTTTTGATGGCAAAAACTGGAACAGATGGAAGATACAAATGCGTGTGTTGTTTGGTGCTCATGATGTTCTGGATCTTGTTTCTGAAGGTTATGTTCCAGCTGCAGCAGGTGCTACTGAAGAACAAAAATCAGAAGAAAGAGCTACGGGGAAGAGGGATCAGAAAGCTCTGTTCTTTATCCATCAGTGTGTGGATGAAAATGTGTTTGAGAAGATTGTTGATTCGACGACGTCGAAAGGGGCATGGGATATACTGACCAGATGTTATGGTGGTGATGTATCAGTAAAGAAGGTAAAGCTTCAGTCCCTGCGAAAACAATATGAAAATCTCAGCATGAAGAACAGTGAGAAAGTTTCTGAGTACATCTCCAGAATGATTCCGATCACTAATGAAATGAAGGCTTATGGAGAAACACTTTCTGAATAGGTAATCATAGAAAAGATTCTGAGGTCACTTACTCCTCAGTTTGATTACATTGTTGTTTCTATTGAACATTCTAAAAATCTGGAAACCATGAGAATAGAAGAGTTGCAAAGCAGTCTAGAAGCGCAATAGTTGCGTCTGACTGAAAGAACTTCTGAGAGGGAAGTGGAGCAAGCTCTGAAAGCTTCTTTTGTCAAGAAGGACCAGAAGCAGAATAGACATGGTGATAAATTCCAGAAGTCAGAAACCTCAACTTCTGATGAAAAGAAATATCAAAAGGGAAAGGAAAGGTATGACAAGAAGAAGGTTCAATGTTACTGCTGTAAACAGTTTGGCCATTTTGCCAGAGACTGTAGAAACAGAGGAAGGAAATCAGAAGAAGCAAATATAGCCAGAGAAGATTCTGATGATGAACCTGTGCTACTGATGGCTTCTGATTCTGATGGAAACTGTTCAGGAGATTGGTGGTATATGGACACTGGCTGTTCAAACCACTTGACTGGGAACAAACAATGGCTGATAGACTTTGACTCCAGAAGGAGAACAAAGATCAGATGTGCTGATGATAAGTACCTTAATGCAGAAGGTATGGGAAATGTTAGAGTCAGAGTGAAGAATGGAAGAAACATTCTGATCAAAGACGTTTGGTATGTTCCTGGAATTAAAAGCAATCTGATGAGTGTGGGTCAGCTTATTGAGAAAGGTTTCTCAGTGGTTATGAAGGACAATATCTTGACGTTGTATGATTCTAATCAGAAGTTGATTATGAAGTCTGAGCAGGGAAGCAATAGAACATTCAAGGTGAATGTAGAAACTTCTGAAGCGGAGTGTCTTAGTGCAGAAGGCGCTGAAGCTGACAGTAAACTGTGGCACAAGAGGTTGGGGCACTTGAACTATAGAAGCTTAGGGCATCTAAGTTCTAAGAAGCTCGTACATGGCATTTCGAAGATTGTGAAGCCTCAGAAGTCATGTGAGATATGCATGAAAGGCAAGCAACCCAGATTGCCATTTGCATCAGAAGTAACCCCCAGAGCAAAGCATACTCTGGGAGTAGTACATTCTGATGTGTGTGGACCATTTCCAGTACCTTCCCTTGGAGGAAACAAATATTTTGTGTCTTTTGTGGATGAGTTCACAAGAATGACATGGGTAACACTCATCAAGTTCAAGCATGAAGTGTTTACTGAGTTCCAGAAGTTCAAGGTGAAGGCTGAGAAGCAGAGTGGTCAGAAGTTGAAGATTCTGAGAACAGATGGTGGAGGTGAGTATAACTCTACAGAGTTCCAGAAGTTCTGTGAGGAGAATGGAATAGAACATGAGGTTACTGCTCCATATACTCCTCAGCACAATGGTCTTGCTGAAAGAAGAAACAGAACTTTGCTTGATATGACCAGAAGTATGCTGAAAGAGAAGAAGTTACCTCACATGTTATGGGGAGAAGCTGTTGCCACATCAGCATATGTTCTGAATAGGTGTCCAACAAAGAAGCTGGAGGAAATTGTCCCTTTAGAAAAATAGACTGGAGACAAGCAAAGTGTTAGCCATCTGAAGGTGTTTGGTTTTGTATGCTACAAACACGTTCCAGATGCTAGAAGACGAAAACTGGATGATAGAAGCAAAACAATGTTACTGGTGGGGTACCACAGTACAGGTGCCTATAAGCTTTATTGTCCAGAAACCAACAAAGTTGAAATCAGCAGAGACGTCATTGTGAAAGAGTTAGAAACATGGGATTGGAACAAGCTTCAATCAGATTCTGGTGGAGTGCCAACGCCAGGGTTAGTTTCTAAAAGTTCTGAAGACGAGTCAGAGTCAGAAGATGAAGACTCTGAAGATGAGTCAGAATCTCAGGGAGATTCTGATAGTGGATCTGATTCTGATCCAGATTCTGATGATGATCTAGAATCTGGTGGTGATTATACTTCTGGAAGGGAAAACTCTGAAGACATGGGGTCTGGAGAACAAGCTTCCAGAAGTAACTCTGAAGGAAATAATTCTGGACAAAGTCCAGAAGCCAGCACAGTTCCAAGTTCTGGAGAAAATTCAGAACAAGATCAGAGGCCACAGAGAATCAGACGAATACCAAGTAGGTTTGCAGATTTTAGTATGTTGCATGATACTGAAGTAAATTCTGAAGGAGAAATCGTTCAGTGTGCCATGCTAGTAGATTCTGAACCAGTGGGTATTGAAGAAGCACTCAAGAAGAAAGTATGGCTGAATGCCATGAAAGAAGAACTTGAGGCTATTGAAAGAAACAAGACTTGGAAGCTAACAGAACTTCCAAAAGGCAAGAAAGCCATCAGCGTCAGATGGGTTTTCAAGCAGAAGCTAAAGTCAGATGGATCAATTGGCAAACACAAAGCGAGACTAGTGGCCAGAGGTTTTCTTCAGAAACTTGGACTAGATTACTTTGAGGTGTTTGCGCCTGTAGCTAGACACGAAACAATCAGACTGGTGATTGCTTTAGCTGCAAACAGAAATTGGCCTTTGATACATCTGGATGTGAAGTCTGCATTTCTGAACGGTCCATTACAAGAAGAAGTTTATGTGTCACAACCTCTTGGATTTGTGAAAAAGAATCAGGAAGGGATGGTATACAAGTTAAATAAAGCTTTGTATGGACTGAAGCAAGCGCCCAGAGCTTGGAATTTGAAGATTGATTCGTTTTTCAATGAACAAGGGTTTCAGAAGTGTGAGATGGAGTATGGTGTTTATGTTCAGCATACTTCAGAAGGTAATATGATTCTGGTTTGTTTGTATGTTGATGACATATTACTCACAGGAAGTTCTGAACAAGAAACAGTTGAGTTCAAGAAAGTTCTGATGAATGCGTTTGAGATGACAGATCTTGGAAAATGAGTTTCTTTCTAGGGATGGAATTTATATACTCTGAGAAAGGAATCATCTTACATCAGAAGAAGTATAAACTGGAGCTTCTGAAGAGATTTGAGCTAGCAAATTGCAAGATTGTTATCACACCTGCTGATACGAATCAAAAGTTGGATTCTAATTCTGATGGAGAGGATGTGGATGCTACAACCTTCAAACAGATGGTTGGTTCTCTGAGGTATTTGTGTAATACCAGACCTGATATTTGTTATGCAGTTGGAATGGTCAGCAGATACATGAACAAACCAAAGTGGTCTCATTACCAAGCTGCTGTCCGGATTCTGAGGTATGTAAAAGGAACTCTGAAATATGGAGTGTTATTTCCTTCTGAAGGAAAGATCAAATCAGAACTTCTGAGTTATTCTGATTCTGATTGGTGTGGAGATAGAGTTGACAGAAGAAGTACTTCTGGGTACTTGTTCAAGTTTCTGGGAGGTCTAATTTCTTGGAGTTCCAAGAAACAGCCTGTTGTGACTTTGTCAACATGTGAAGCTGAATACATTGCAGGTGCTGTAGCTGCTTGTCAAGCAGTTTGGCTTCTGAATCTGCTGCATGATCTAAAGGTTGAAGTTGAGGAACCTCTGAAGCTGATGATTGATAATAAGTCTGCAATATTGCAAAGAATCAAGTGCTACATGGAAGAAGCAAGCACATTGAGACGAAGTATCACTTTCTCAGAAGTCAAGTGCAGAAAGGAGTGTTAGAAGTTCTGCACTGTAGCACTCAGAAGCAGCTAGCAGATGTTCTGACAAAGGCGATAAAAACAGACCAATTTCTTCGCCTGAGAGATGAAATTGGTGTTGTTAATTTCTGATAAGTTACTAAATTACGGGATGGTATTAGAGGGTAATTTAGTATTTGCCATATATATAGGATATTCTCATTGGGGCCTATGTGGCATTCTTATCTTTGTTTATTTTGTGTATAAATAGGTGTACTAGGTTTACACTTATATCAATCAATTCCTTCAATCATTTGTGGCAGCTTTTAACATTTATTCATTTACTCTCTTCTTCCTAAATTTCATCACCTTGCACTAACATAAAATGCATTCAACTTATGTCATCAAAATATGAGGAAAGAGCTAAACCAAGTTCATTAAAAAAAACTGATTTGAGTTAAAGATAAAAAAGAAAATATAATCTTCCATCCTTATTAAAAAGAACAAAACCAAATATCATTTACAATTCGAGAAGAATCAGATTAATATTCCAGAGTAACATATAGTTGTGGCAACTAGTAAATTTATATTCATGTAGCACTTATATAGAACGTGTTATAACTCTTAATAATGTGGAAGAATATATTCACCAAAAAATGTCAGTGATTATTGACAGATTTGTCATGATGGATCGGAACTCAGCAGGTTATGTTTGGTTATTTTAGTACAATCAAATGGTCCAATCTCTTGATTTTTCTTCACCTGTAAACCATAATGAAACAAAGAAATAAGTCATATTCACAACAATACATCATCAAAATAAAAAGCATATAGAGACACCGTGAATGAATTGAGAAAAGTAACATTAATAAATATGCAACTTTCTGATTGAGATGTTCTCCCTATAAAAAGGTTTGTTTATGAAACTTTAACAAAGTGATATCAATGGTCCGGAATGGAGATTGGGGGGGAGACTTTGGTGTGATGACAAAGGTTGGTTGGTATATGGCCAGTGAAAAGGCATTTGTAAAGGATGTGAAATTCCACAAATGTTCCAATCATCCTAATTCTAATGGGTTATATAATCACAAAACTACAAATAGCAAATGTCTAGTCCTAGTATTTTACTTTTTTGAAGTTAAGAATTGAATTCAGAGATATTATACACGAACAAATAAGATTGTAAAACATCCTTACACTTTGAATTTGAATCAAATCTAGATAATGAAGAATGGACCTACCGGTGACCAAGGGTTTGGTTCATTCTGGACTTTGTCAGGGGGAGAGTTTTGTACAGCGCCGCTTTTCATCGTTAAAATATTCTGCAGACACAACAAATAAGATGAATCAAACATGGCAGTTGGCAAAAATCACCACATACCAAAGAACTAATGCTTTATGTAAAGTAAAGTCAGAGCCTTAACCTTAAACACAAGTTTGATTTCACTGCCATGTGCAATTCAAACAATGCAAGTAAAACACAAACAATTACTAACAATTAACTAACTTTGACCGTTAAAAAAAAAATCAATGCAAACATACATAAATATAAATATTAAAAAGGGGTTGATGTAATGGCAATGCAAGACTTCAAAACATAAAAATAAGTTAGCATGAAATATACTGTCAGACAAAGAAACTTAGCAATCAAGGATTAAAAGTATGGATGTTCAGTTAAGAAATCTGAATCACCTCTCCAGCGGCTTCTATTGCAGCTAACCATTCCTCAGTAAATGGAGCAACATTCAGTGGAGGCGCCACTATCGGAACTTCCTGCTTGGTTTTAGTTGCATCTATTTTGCTGCCACTCACAAAATTAACATTGATCTCAATATGTAACGCTTCAAAACTGTCTTAGATTTAATATGGAAAGGCTGCCAAAGCATAGATGAACAAAAGTTATACAACAACAAAAATACTCACAGATGAATTGTTTTTCTGTTGTGGTTTGTCTGACTCAGCGAGTCAGTATTAGGAGACTTATCATTCTCAAAGACAGTAGTTACAGCTACATCTGAAAAACTTTCACTGTTTTCTGAACTAACTTCATTACCTTGTGGAATTGTTTCAATGAAGGTTGGATTATCTGAAGCTAGTATCTTTGGTTTTTGACTTAAAAGACATTGCTCTTGAGGTTTCCAAGCAACTACACTTGTAAAGGGGCCGTCAGTCACTTCAATAGAAGAATCTAATTCAGCAGAAATAGCATTCTCATTGAGTTTCATTGAACTAACTTCGCTTCCTTGTGGGATTGTTGCATTAAAGATTGAATTCTCTAAAGCTAGTAATTTTGATTTTTCACTTAAAAGACAGGGGCCTTCACTCACTTCAATAGAAGAATCTAATTCAGCAGAAATAGCATTCTCATCGAGTTTCATTGAACTAACTTTGCTACCTTGTGGAATTGTTGCATTGAAGATTGACTTCTCTGACGCTAGTAATTTTGAATTTTCACTTAAAAGACATGGGCCTTCACTCACTTCAATATAAGAATCTAATTCAGCAGAAATAGCATTCTCATTGAGTTTCATTGAACTAACTCCGCTGCCTTGTGGGATTGTTGCATTAAAGATTGAATTCTCTGAAGCTAGTAATTTTGATTTTTCACTTAAAAGACAGGGGCCTTCACTCACTTCAATAGAAGAATCTAATTCAGCAGAAATAGCATTCTCATCGAGAATCATTGAACTAACTTCGCTGCCTTGTGGGATTGTTGCATTGAAGATTGAATTCTCTGAAGCTAGTAATTTTGATTTTTCACTTAAAAGACACGGGCCTTCATTCACTTCAATAGAAGAATCTAATTCAGCAGAAATAGCATTCTCATTGAGTTTCATTGAACTAACTTCGCTGCCTTGTGGAATTCTTGCATTGAAGATTGAATTCTCTGAAGCTAGTAATTTTGATTTTTCACTTAAAAGACATGGGCCTTCATTCACTTCAATAGAAGAATCTAATTCAGCAGAAATAGCATTCTCATTGAGTTTCATTGAACTAACTTCGCTGCCTTGTGGAATTCTTGCATTGAAGATTGAATTCTCTGAAGCTAGTAATTTTGAATTTTCACATAAAAGACAGGGATCTTCACTCACTTCAGTAGAAGAATCAAATTCATCAGAAATAACATTCTCGAGTTGAACTTCAACGGAAGGAGATATATCTAATGAACCTTCATCTGCACCATTGATTCGCAAAAGTTCCACCTTTTCATCCATATCTTTAATATCAACTGAAGGAGATATATCTAATGAACCTTCTTCTGCACCACTGATTCCCAAAAGTTCCACCTTTTCATCCATATCTTGATTTCCATCTTTGTTTACAAGCATATCTGAATTTAGTAACTTCGCCTGCAGACGCAACAAATAAGATGAATCAAACATGGCAAAACCACATTGCAAAGAACTAATTGCTTTATGTAAACTCAAGAGCCTTAACCTTAAACACAAGTTTGATTCCACTGCCATATGCAATTCAAACATGCAAGTAAACATTTAACACAAACAATTACTGACAATTAACTAACTTTGACTGTTTAAAAAAATCAATGCAAACATACATAAACATAAATATTAAAAAGGGGTCGATGTTAAAGGGCAAAATATTGGCAATGTAAGACCTCAAAACAGAAAAATAAGTTGGCATGGAATACTCTTGTCATGCAGAGAAACTAAGTAATCAGGGATTAAAGTATGGATGTTCAGTTAAGAAATCTGAGTCACCTCTCCAGCAGCTTCTATTGCAGCAAACCATTCCTCAGTAAATGGAGCAACATTCAGTGGAGGCTTCGCTATCGGAACTTCCTGTTTGGTTTTACTTGCATCTATTTCGCTGCCACTCACAAAATTAACATCGGTCACTCAATATGTAACACTTCAAAACTGTCTTGGATTTAAAACGGAAAGGCTGCATAAATGAACAAAAGTTATACAACAAAAAAGATTCTCACAGATGAATTTTTTTGCTGTTGTCTTCCAGAAAGTCGATGTTGTCTTCAGTCTGATTCGGCATGTCAGTATTAGGAGACTTATCATTCTCAAATACAGTAGTTACAGCTACATCTGAAAAACTTTCACTGTTCGCTGAACTAACTTCATTACCTTGTGGGATTGTTTCAATGAAGGCTGGATTATCTGAAGCTAGTAACTTTGATTTTTCACTTAAAAGACAGGAGTCTTCGCTCACTTCAATAGAAGAATCTAATTCAGCATTAGGAGACTTATCATTCTCAAATACAGTAGTTACAGCTTCCTCTGAAAAACTTTCACTGTTCGCTGAACTAACTTCATTACCTTGTGGGATTGTTTCAATGAAGGTTGGATTATCTGAAGCTAGTAACTTCGATTCTTCACTTAAAAGACAGGAGTCTTCGCTCACTTCAATAGAAGAATCTACTTCAGCAGAAATAGCATTCTCATTGAGTTTCATTGAACTAACTTTGCTGCCTTGTGGGATTGTTGCATTGAAGATTGAATTCTCTGAAGCTAGTAATTTTGATTTTTCACTTAAAAGACACAGATCTTCACTCACTTTAGTAGAAGAATCAAATTCATCAGAAATAACATTCTCGAGTTGAATTTCAAATGAAGGAGATATATCTACTAATGAACCTTCTTCTGCACCATTAATTTGCAAAAGTTCCACCTTTTCATCCCCATCATCATGATTTCCGTCTTCTGCACCGTTGATTTGCAAGAGTTCGACCTTTTCATCCACATCATAATTTCCATCTTCTGCACCGTTGATTTGCAAGAGTTCGACCTTTTCATCCACATCATGATTTCCATCTTTTGCACCATTGATTTGCAAGAGTTCCACCTTTTCATCCACATCATGATTTCCATCTTCTGCACCGTTGATTTGCAAGAATTCGACCTTTTCATCCACATCATGAATTCCATCTTCTGCACCGTTGATTTGCAAGAGTTCGACCTTTTCATCCACATCATGATTTCCATCTTCTCCATCAATTATTTGCAAAACTTCCACCTTTTCATCCACACCATTGATTTGCGAAAATTCCACCTTTTTATCCGCATCAAGATTTCCATCTTCTGCACCATTGATTTCCAAAAGTTTCACCTTTTCATCCACATCATTGATTTGCAAAAGTTCCACATTTTCATCCACATCACAATTTCCATCTTCTGCACCATTTATTTGCAAGAGTTCCGCCTTTTCATCCATATCATGCTTTCCATCTTCAACATCACTGATTTGCAAAAGTTCTGCCTTTCCATCCACGTCATGATCTCCATCTTCTACATCATAGATTTGCAAAAGTTTCCCCTTTTCATCCACATCATGATTTCCATCTTCTGCATCATTGATTTGCATAAGTTCCAGGTTTTCATCCACATCATGATTTCCATCTTCTACATCATTGACTTGCGAAAATTCCACCTTTTCATCCATGTCATTGATTTGCAAACGTTCGACCTTTTCATCCACATCAATGATTTGCAAATGCTCCACCTTTTCATCCACATCATTGATTTGCAAAAGTCCCTCTTTTTCATCCACATCATGATCTCCATCTTCTACATCTTTGATTTGCGAAAATTCCACCTTTTCATCCACGTCGTTGATTTGCAAGAGTTTCACCTTTTCATCCACATCATTTATTTGTAAAAGTTCCACCTTTTCATCCACGTCATTGATTTGCAAAAGTTCCACCTTTACATACACATCACGATTTCCAACTTCTGCACCATTGATTTGCAAAACTTCCACCTTTTCATCCACATCATGATTTCCATCTTCTACGTCATTGATTTGCAAAAGTTCCACCTTTTCATCCATGTCATTGATTTGCAAAAGTTCCACCTTTTCATCCATGTCATTGATTTGCAAAAGTTCCACCTTCTCATCCACGTCATTGATTTGCAAAAATTCCACCTTTTCATCCACATCATTGATTTGCAAAAGTTCCACCTTTCTATCCACATCATTTCCATCTATGTTTACTAGCATATCTTCAATATGATGATTGGTAGCATTGTGCTCAATGCTATGGAACCCACAATCTTCAAATGCATCCTCAACTAAATTTTGGTCCTTGAGTTCTGTAGGTGAAACAATAACTGCTGGCAGAAAGTCATTATCCAAGTGAACATCTTGGGAATTTACAGTAACAACAGCACTAGGCTTTTGAAACCCAGGAAGATGGGAATCTTCATTTATGTTATTATCATCTGCCATTGAAGATGTCGAAACAGTTATACAATCTTCACTCAACCTATCCAATTCAAACTCTGGAGTTCTATCATGGACTGCTTTTGAGTCAATAACCTGGTCACATTCCTTATCCATTGGGCTTCTTGGGATGAAACCTGATTGATCATTTACTGGAAGTTTGATCTCAATTATTTTTGATTCATTCTCAGAAGCACCGTTGATTCCTAGTATAGACTTTTCAGGAGAACCTTTGGAAAATAAGGTCATCACATGAACATGCTGAGAACAGTTCATATTAGAGATATTTTCTTTTTCTGGTCCATTTTCTTTTACACCACTAGGATTTAGAGTCATGGGTTGGTCTGCCTGTAACTGCAGACTAACTGCCTCTAAATTACTTTGGGTGGTTTTTTTGCAATTGATAGTGAGACTGTCATTCAGTAAATGCCCTTGTGCATCTCTTCCATATTTACCAAATTCACCAGCACCATAATTTACCTGTTCTGTATTCTTACACGGGGTTCCATGTTTAGATCCTTCGGGGACAGTTTTGCTAAAATCATCAAGGCTAGAATTTAAAAGTGCACTCTTGACATTGTTGTCTCCCTTAAACTCTCCCGAATGTCTACCATCCTTAAAAGAAGTTCTATGCTCTTCCTGTAGTATCAAACTTTCCTTGAAAGTCGGAACGTCACCGGAGGGCCCTTTGATTTGATCACCTTCATCTTGTCCTGATGCATTCTGCACAGTGTTAGAAGTTCTCTGCATGATAGGATTGAGCATAGACTGTGGTTCCTGATATAAAGACCGGTCCACATTTGACGGAACATCATATAACTTGTTACCCAGATCGTGGTCAGCCTCTTTCTCCAACTGCTCATGTGTCTGACTCTTTCGAAGAAATTCCTTTCCATGTGTAGGTAATGCCATGTTCTCCTTGCTAGAAATGATTTTATTTTCATGTAGTTCTCCTTGCTCCTGAGATTTTAAGATGACATCGTCAAGAATGTTTTCAACCTCTGCTTGCTTACTTACTATTTCAAAACTCGAAGAATCACATTCCACTTCTACACCAGCCATCTGCTTATTGTCTATTTGCATGATTGCTTCAGACTGGACATCTGAAAGGCTTAATTCCTTAGTATTCTTTGCAGCCCCTTTGACAATTTTTGGCCTTGCCTCTTTAACAGAAACTGTTTCCAACTTCCTTAGTTTTGGAATGTTACTCTCAGAAGGTTTGCAAGGTATAGAGCTTTTCTGCAAGCTGTGTGAACCGGAAGCTTTTACCTGCAGAGCAGTAATAGGCATGGACATGATATCAATATGTGAGTGTTATTTTATTTATGCATGCTCCTAAATATTATATAGGGGAATGAAGAGAGTAATCATACCTGAGAAAAGAAACCAATGGAAGGAGATGGCTTCCGTAAGCCTGATGATTTTATTGTCCCTGTTTGATGCATGCTGGATGGTGGGCGTGGTACAGAAACTGAGTTATCCTGTGCAGCAGGTTAAAAATATTTCAAGAGAATAACCAAATAATCCGTAGTTAAACAATAGAAATTACAAAATTGATGAAGTAAATGATGAATATTTGAAAACATTAAGATAAAGTAAGCACCTACCAAAAGTTTTCCAGCCTGCTTGGTAAGAGTTCTACTAACAGAACACTTGTCAGCCGTATCAACTTTAGGGATGCTTGGAACATATGTAGGATTTTTTGACAAGCGAGGGATGCTTGGCGTAGGATTTTTTGATAGGCTAGGGATGCTTGGCGTAGGATTTTTTGATAGGCTTGGGATGCTTGGCGTAGGATTTTTTGATAGGCTTGGGATGCTTGGCGTAGGATTTTTTGACAAGCGAGGGATGCTTGGCGAAGGATTTTTTGATAGGCTAGGGATGCTTGGCGCAGGATTTTTTGACAGGCCTAACAAAATAAAAACAAGATCAACAAATTTTGTGTACAGAAAAGACAGATTTCACACTTCTGAAGTTCAGAATGCTGAAGTGAGAGATTCATTTTAAATAGAAAAGTGAAAAGTTAGTGATTGATTAAAAAAGCCAATAGTTGAGATTTTGATCATATGCGTGTATTTTGACTAACAAACTATAAAGTTGTTTAAAGTTCATAGTTGATCTTTGAATTGACTACTATAAACCATTCACAATTTCCTTTTAAACTGTATTCCTAGGTTTACGAGAGTTAAATCTAGAAAAAAGGATCAAATACAAACTATAGAACTTACCAGGATGTGCATTCTGATTTCTTTTTGAGGAACTTGAGCTCAACATTCCACTCCTAGTGGTAGTTGCATTAGCAGAAACATTGGATTTTGGTCCTGATATCCTGGTGATTTTTGACTCTTTACTCGGCGTTTTAGCGGTGTCAGTTCTTTTTACTTTTCAAAGGAGTTAAGGTAAGCACTTTCATTATTCAACACAAATACAGACAACTCAATTCCAGCACACACAGTAAAGAGACTCCACTCTGACACTGTTTGAGTTAACTTCAAATTCATAAATTCACTTCAGCTAAAATAAGTTTATAAAAGGTTATGGTGAAATTAAATGAGAAAAGTACCCAAAAAAAGTAAAGAAGCAGAAATTAATTACACCTTATTCAATATAAACTTTTTCTTTGAAAAACACATAGTTACAGTAAGATTCTTTCTGCGTTTTTTCTCACGAGATTCTTCTTGAGAAAGCTGATTGTTAACAATATGCATCTAAACAAGCTTATAAAATCACTTCAGCTAAAATAAGTAAACAGATTTTACTCATGAAAGTCTTCATAAGTTTATAAAAGGTTATGGCGAAATTAAATGAGAAAAGTACCAAAAGAAGTAAAGAAGCAGAAACCAATTACAACTTATTCAATATAAACTTTTTCTTTAAAAAACACAGTTACAGTAAGAATTTCTACGTTTTTCCCCATAAGATTCTTCTTGACAAAACTGACTGTTAATAAAAGGCATCTAAACAAGCAATGGCAAGGATATGATGAAGAAGGTACCGCCTTTGGAATAGCACTGCGCTTATATTTATTTCCAACATTGTTGGTTGCAAGCACTTTCCTCTTTCCCTAACAAGCATACGTACAAAATAACACATGATAGAAATTAAGAAGGGTTCAACTATGATGCACCATTATATATACCAATAGTATAAAGAGGTAAAATAGACTAACCAAGGAAGCAACGGGTGGTGTTCGTTTGACCGATGCACCGGGCTTTGGTGATAAGCCAGAAACAGCACCAATCTTCTTCGCTCTAATCGAAACACCTCCAGATGAATGTCTAAACAAATTTTCTTCGATTTGCTGCAATACTGTTGAAGTTGTAGCCAGTTCTTCTTCATCTATAACCTCCAAATTGGACTTTGAATTAGGTGTGGCCGTGCCACTGATCATAGAAAGCTCTGTGGGGTTCAAAACACCTGAATAATAGGGTTTCAGCATGAATGTTAATCAAAAGTAATAGTAAAACGTGTTTTTAACTTTCATCAACAATAAACCAATGATATCCATTCCATACTTCAATCTCAACCATCCTAACATTAATATTTACCATTAATTAGCTTTGAAGTACAAACTTCGATACGGACACCGAGACATGACACGACACGGATACCGAGACATGACACGAAACAGACACCGACACATGGCACGACACGGATACTTCAACACCGATAATGTCAAAGACATAGGACACCTACACCTATACACACCGCTACCTATACCATAGTATTTGAGCTTCATTTATTCGTCTATTATTAAAAAAGTTAATAACATAAGACACCACACCGCTACCACCAACACCACTACATGTGTCATACAAGTGTCAGACACACGACTTGTCGGACACCGCGACTTGCCTACACCTAGAGGTGTCCGTGTTCATAGTTAAATAACATTGACAGAATTTTCATTTCCCCAGTTAATTCATGAAAACAGAAGGAGAGAATACCTTGTTCAGTAAAAAAAGCTCTATCCCATGCCAAGCTTTTGCGCAAATTGAATCCGCCGAATTTTTTCTTCCTTTTCTTCTGCTGAGACTGCTGAGTCTCCGATGCTTCCGGTCCACTACATTTCGGAGACGAATTCAAATCTTCAGAAACTACCGAAGTAGTTTCGATTCTCTCTACTGGTTGCGCTAATCAATCAAAAACGTTGAAGAAATCAGTAATCCATCATAATCTAGAAATCATCAACAAAGTTTAACAAAATGAAAATGCAAAAACCCTAACCGGTTTGAGGAGGACGGGATCTGATAGAAACGAGTGGAGAGCATGAGAAAAGGTTGGCGGATGTGGAATTGTTGACGCCGGAGAGTAGAGAATCGTCCTCGCCGGCGATTTCTAAGAGATCGGAAACGGAATCCATGATCGAGTTCTTCAATGCGATTTTCTTCTATGCTGAATTATGAGTGTAAAGTGGATTAGGTTTTGCATTTGTTTAGTGTGTTTGGTTCTGCAAATTGATTGCAATTTCAAACCTGATGGAAAGCGGGGTTGTGGAGTGTGAAATTTGCGAAGTTTCGTCCAACGGCAGCGAAAGGATAGAAATGTAATTGAGCTGCGTCCGCAATTCTTGTTAGCTTACCTTTTCATTTTGTAATTATAATTTTGAATTTTGAATTTTGAAATGGAGCATGTAAAAAAAAATTAAGTTAAAATGCTTTAAGGTTCCCTAAAAATAAATGGAATAAACTACATCCTAAAATTAAAATTGTCCTCAATTTTAAAATTTGAATGTAAAATATATTTTTTTCTTTACTAATTCTTTTTAAAATGTGTATTTAGTCTTCAAGTAACTTAACTTAATTTAATATTTTGTTTTAGCCTTTTAAATAAAAATTATTATAAGTTAGTCTTTTAATTTTATTTTTCTTATTTTATTTAATCTTTTTCGTCAAAAAAACATTAAATTCTAATGACGTGAATATACAATGAGGCTCAAAATTTAAATGTGACTAAATATTTATATTATAAATTAGAATTCCCACTTAAGTAGATGTATAAATATGATAACAATAATACTACATTAAGTGAAACTCTATTTTATAATACAAATGTTGAGTCACATTTGACCTTGAGCTTTGATGTACATCCACGACACCAGAACTTAAATATTTTTTTGCTATAAATTAACAAAAGAAATCAAATAGGATAACATAAGTGAAGTTAAGAGATTTACTTGTAATATTTTCTAACTAAGGGGCTAAAGTAGAACATTAAATTAAATTAAGAGACTAAATTATATATTAAGCAAAGAAACATTAATATATCATGTTATTGTCTTCTAGGGGTTAGAATAGACTAGATTAGATTTTAAAATGTATAAATCTGACCTACAATAAATTTTTAAGGCTTGAGTTAAACCTATAGTCTATTATATATATTTTTTGACTTACCTAACCTTTTTAAAAATTTAGCATATCCTGAAAACCAATTTAAAAATTTATCTCACAGTAAAACTTTGGAATAGTTCATTTATCTTTTTTTTTCTTTTAATCAGTTGGTAGAGCTCCGCTCTTGCAATTGGGCCATTGCGATTACGGGTTGGATGTCTAATTGTCCAGGCGGTAATGATAGTATCTTGTACCTGAATCGGTGGCTAACTTTTTCTAAGTAATGAGAAAGAGGACCGAAACATGCCACTGAAAGACTCTACTGAGACAAAGATGGGTTGTCAAAAACGTAGAGGAGGTAGGATGGGAAGTTGGTCAGATTTAGTATGGATCATACATGGACGATAGTTGGAGTCGGTGGCTCTCCTAGGGTTTCCTCATCTGAAATCTTGGGGAAGAGGATCAAGTTGGCCCTTGCGAACAGCTTGATGCAATATCTCCCTTCAACCCTTTGAGCGAAATGCGGGAAAACAAAAGGAAAGAACATCCATGGACCGACCCCATCGTCTCCACCCCGTAGGAACTACGAGATCACCCCAAGGACGCCTTCGGTATCCAGGGGTCGCGGACCGACCATAGAACCATGTTCAACCTGAAAAGGGATAACTAATGTGTTCTCAGGTTGAACATTTAAGGGTCGGAGAAGTGCAATTACTCATTCTTAACTTAAAACATACATTCTTAAGAGCAAAGAGTCGGACGGAAAAGGGGGGAGAAGCTCTTTGTTCTCGGTTCTCCTATAGCTGGATCCTCCGGAACCACAAGAATCCTTGTTTGAATGGGATTCTAACTCAGCACCCTTTGATATTTTGAGAAGAGTTGCTCTTTGGAGAGCACAGTACGATGAAAGTTGTAAGCTGTGTTCGGAGGGTTATTGTCTATCGTTGGCCTCTATGGTAGAATCAGTTGGGGCTTGAGAGGCGGTGATTTACCCTGTGGCAGATGTCAGCGGTTCGAGTCCGCTTATCTCCAACTCGTTAATTTTTATGATATAAAACTATATGATAGCATTTATAGCACTCTATTTTTCCGATTCGGTAGTTTAGTTTAAGTTATGTTATGATTTATCATTTATGGACGTTGATAAGATCCTTCCATCTAGCAACACCTTATGATGGCATAGAGTTGAAGTGAAGGGCGAGGTTCAAACGAGGAAAGGCTTATGGTGGATACCTAGGCACCCAGAGACGAGGAAGGGCGTACTAAGCGACGAAATGCTTCGAGGAGTTGCAAAAAAGCAAAGATCTGAGGATTCCCGAATAGGTCAACCTTTCGAACTGCTGCTGAATTCACGAGCAGGCAAGAGACAACCTGGCGAACTGAAACATCTTAGTAGCCAGAGGAAAAGAAAGCAAAAGTGATTCCCGTAGTAGCGGCGAGCGAAATGGGAGCAGCCTAAACCTTGAAAACGGGGTTGTGGAAGAGCAATACAAGCGTCATGCTGCTAGGCGAAGCAGTCGAATGTTGCACCCTAGATGGTGAAAGTCTAGTAGCCGAAAGCATCACTAGCTTATGCTCTGACTCAAGTAGCATGGGGCACGTGAAATCCCGTGTGAATCAGCAAGGACCACCTTGCAATGCTAAATACTCCTAGGTGACTGATAGTGAAATAGTACCGTGAGGGAAAGGTGAAAAGAACCCCCGGCGGGGAGTGAAATAGAACATGAAACCGTAAGCTCCCAAGCAGTGGGATGAACTGAGGACTCTGACCGCGTGCCTGTTGAAGAATGAGCCAGCGACTCATAGGCAGTGGCTTGGTTAAGGGAACCCACCAGAGTCGTAGCGAAAGCGAGTCTTCATAGGGCTATTGTCACTGCTTATGGACCCGAACCTGGGTGATCTATCCATGACTAGGATGAAGCTTAGGTGAAACTAAGTCGAGGTCCGAACCGACTGATGTTGAAAAATCAGCGGATGAGTTATGGTTAGCGGTGAAATGCCAATCGAACCCAAAGCTAGCTGGTTCTCCCCGAAATGCATTGAGGCGCAGCAGTTGACTGGACATCTAGGGGTAAAGCACTATTTCAGCGCGGGCCGCAAGAGCGGTACCAAATCGAGGCAAACTCTGAATACTATATATGACCTCGACGGGTCAAGGTCGGCCAGTGAGACGATGGGGGATAAGCTTCATCGTCGAGAGGGAAACAACCCAGATCACCAACTAAGGCCCCTAAATGATCGCTCAGTGATAAAGGCGGTAGGAGTGCAGAGACAACCAAGAGGTTTGCCTAGAAGCAGCCACCCTTCAAAGAGTGCGTAATAGCTCACTGATCGAGCGCTCTTGCGCCGAAGATGAACGGGGCTAAGCGATCTGCTGAAGTTATGGGATGTAAAAATGAATCGGTAGGGGAGCGTTCCGCCTTAGAAAGAAGTACCCGCACGAGCAGGGTTGGACGAAGCGGAAGCGAGAATGTCGGCTTGAGTAACAAAAACATTGGTGAGAATCCAATGCCCCAAAAAACCTAAGGATTCCTCCGCCAGGTTCGTCCACGGAGGGTTAGTCAGGGCCTAAGATCAGGCCGAAAGGCGTAGTCGATGGACAATAGGTTAACATTCCTGTACTGCCCCTTGTTGGTCCCGAGGGACGGAGGAGGCTAGGTTAGCCGAAAGATGGTTATCGGTTCAAGAACATAAGGTGACTCCCTGTTTTTTCAAGGTAAGAAGGGGTGGAGAAAATGCCTCGAGCCCAAATTTGAGTACGAGGCGCTCTGACGCTTAAGATATATATATATATATATATATATATATATATATATATATATATATATATATATATATATATATATATATATATATATATATATATATATATATATATATATATATATATATATATATATATATATATATATATATATATATATATATATATATATATATATATATATATATATATATATATATATATATATATATATATATATATATATATATATATATATATATATATATATATATATATATATATATATATATATATATATATATATATATATATATATATATATATATAGGGGTAGTAAAACGGGTTGGGCCTGTCAGATTGATCCGTTTGACTCGTCATTTTTGGCGGGCTGAAGTTTTCGGCTCGCTACCTTAAGGTGGCCCGCCCCGCCTAACCCGTTCAAAAAAGCGGGGCGGGATAGGTTTCCCCGCGGACTTTTTGTTAAAAATTTTACTCTTTTTATTAAGAATTAAAATAACTTTAACTATAAAAACAACACTTATCTCTTAGAATTATATTGTAAATTATTATATAAACAAATTGAATTATAATTGTAACGTTTTTTCTATAACTTTCTAATACATGCGCTGATTGAAAATGATTGAAATAAAAGAATAAATGTATGACATGCATAATTATTAAGTTTTCAATATATTAGCTCATATGTTGTTTTTAGAAATAGATGTTGATTTTAAGAAAAGGAAAATTTTGATTAGTGTATACGTGTGACAAATTTAGGATATTAGGATGTAACTATTAAATAATTGGTCAATATAAGAGTCTATATAATATAAACAGTGAGTAAGTTCGGTGTTAATAATTTACGCATTACTATTGTATGCATTGTGATGTTTTATGCAATGTTATTGTTATCATTGTTGGTTTTGTGTAAATTCTAAATTGGGTTCTTTTAGTAGTTAGTTTTTAAATAGGATTAGGATGATATGTATTGTTTATGTATTTTGATATTTTTTATTGTGCTTGAGTTTATTTTGTTTATTTTTTTGTAATTGATCTTTATTTATTAAATTTTTTGAATTATTTGGACTTAAAAACATCTTGAAGTTCTATTATGCGTTGTTAAAAAAAAATTTATCGACTTCTTTGGTAATAATTAAAAATTTTCTAAATTATGTATTAAATCGAATTGTAAAATAAAAAAAATAAAAAAATAGTGGGCCGGCCCGCCAACCCGCCAACTCGTTACTAAACGTTACGGACTTGACTTTTGAGCTCGGACCCCTACGT